GCCTTCTTCACCCCCAGTGCAGGGTGAGGTCTGCCCGGCCGCCCCCGCTGTGCCTCTGGTGGACTGGGTGGGATTGGCAGGGCGGCAGAGGCTGATTACAGGCGGGCTCGGTGTGATGCTGGCACGCAGATCCCTTCATTAAAGCTCCCCAAGGCTGTTTGCACCCTTCCTCCAGGAACCCCCACGCAGCCCAGGAATGTAAATGACGGCTTGTGGCCCTGACACCGGTGGGGTGGACGCGAACCTTGGCGCCCACTGTGGCTCGCAGTCCTCTCTGGGGGCACAAGCTTTCTGGGCCCTTCTGAGCAGTCCATCTATGAGGAAGCGCGTTCCAGGCAGTTGTTTCTCGAGCCTTGCAGGGCTGGAGCGACAGGGACGCCTTGCCCTGTGGGTGGGGAGCGGGCAGGCACAGCCCCAGCTTGTCCTTGGGAGCAGAGACCAGGAGTGGCCAGGGCCAGCCAGGCAGTGGCAGAAGCAGGCCTGGTCAGCCAGTGAGGACACAAGACAAGACTGCACTCTGCTATGACTCACTTCTTGTGCCGTACCCTGGGGGGTTTGGTTTTTACAAATTGAAGGTCTGTGGTGACCCTACATCGAGAAAGTCTGTGGGCTCCATTTTCCCAATAGTGTCTCTCTCTGTGTGTCTGTCATGTTCTGTCCATGCCCTGTGTTCACACACTGTCATCATGCTCGTATTTCATAACCACAGGATCAATGTGACACTGCTGTGCGCTCCGCTGTTGTTGGGTGACATTGTCGCCTGCCCGCCGGTTGTTGGGTGACACTGTCGTGTGCCTGGATATTGTTGAGTGACATTGTCACATGCTCACCTGTTGTTGGGTGACACTGTCACCTGCACTGCTGTTGTTGGGTGACACTGTCATGTGCCCTCCTGTTGTTGGTGACACTGTCGCCTGCCCTGCTGTTGGTGACACTTTCGCTTGCCCTGCTGTTGTTGGTGACACTGTTGTGTGCACACCTGTTGTTAGGTGACACCGTCACCTGCCCTGCTGTTGTTGATGACACTCTCGCCTGCCCTGCTGTTGTTGGTGACACTGTCACCTGCTCTGCTGTTGTTGAGTGACACTGTCGCGTGCTCTGTTGGTGGTGACACTGTCACCTGCCCTGCTGTTGGTGGTGACACTGTCACCTACCCTGCTGTTGGTGGTGACACTGTCGCCTGCCCTGCTGTTGGTGTCACTGTTGTGTGCCCGGCTGTTGCTCTTGGCCAGTGTCTGAGTCCCCCAGTGCCGCCATATGGACACAGCACGGTGGCTTCCATTAGTGGAGGGCTGTTGCAGGGTCAGAGTTCTGGAGCTGAGTCCACATCCGTGTCTCACGGTGCCGAGTCCTCCTGGGGTCTCATTCCTGGCTCTGTGTTGGCTGTGATCTGTGGAAATCCTGGGCTTCTCTCGGGTCTGTCTCCCCCATCTCCTCCTTCCATGTGTGTCTCTGTGTCTGATTTCCCCCCTCTATAACTCTCAAGCCCTGATGGCACATGGTAAGCGCTCTGCCGTTAACTGAAAGGTTAGCCATTTGAATCTTCTCATGGGAGAAAGACTTCTGTGAGGGTCCAAATCCAAACTTACTGCCATCTGGTCAGAACCGGCTCATAGCTGGCCCTCCAGTGGGTTCAGCGGGTGTGAATCGCCCCGGAGGAGACAGCCCATCTTTCTCCCGTGGTGGGGCTGGTGGATGCAGACTGGCAGAGAGGCTGCCTCTGGATTAGAATCACGATGTCCTGCAGAAACCGCTGCCAGAGCCCCCACTGGGAAGGCTGCGGTGTGGCAGGGGCAGCTCTGCTCTGTCCTGGGGGTCGCTGGGAGTCGGGGGTCACTGGGACGGTGGCCGTTTAGTTTCTTTTCTGTGATAAATGGCCTGTTTCGGCCTTCCACTACACTGCAGACCCCTGATACAGGAACAAACGCCATTTGCACACAGGATGCTGTTCACCGGACAAACCTGGGGGACACACTCAGTGAGGAGCACCGGCTCATGGGGCCGAGTCCTCCGGGCGTCAAAGTGGGGTTCCACGTGCAGCTGGTCTGCATTTGGGGGGGGGCTCACAGACATCTCTGCTTTCTCACCCACAGCCCCACATCAGCCGCCTGGGCCTGCCCCACGGTCCATCCGGGGAGAAGGTGGCCGTGGTGACCGTGGACGAGTGTGACACAGCCGTGGCCGTACGCTTTGGGGACTACGTGGGGAATTACACCTGTGCCGCCCAGGGCACACAAAGCGGCTCCAAGAAGTGAGTGGCCAGGGCACCTGCTGGAACCTTCTCTGCAACGGCCACTGCTCCAGAGGTCATGACCTGGTCCCAGCGGCCCTGCTGCTCTGACAGCTTTGATCTGGTTAGGTTACCTCCCCTGCTTAGGCTCCTTCCCTCCACATGGCAGAAGCTCGTCTCCTTCGGGGTGCCGAAGCCACCCAGGTGGTGACGGTACCCTGCCCTGCACCTCATCACCGTGGCCTGTGGCCTGCACTGGCCCTGTGGATGGCCAGTTACCTCGGGGAAGACTTTATATGAACCTGGGGGTGGGACTGACACCGGGAACCTGTGATGTCACACCTGTGAAACAGGTCAGGGGGTGTCCCTGGGGTGAGCATCCCAACAGGGCCCATAGCTGCCTGGGTGGGGCCAGGTGCAGATTCTGCTGCCCCTCCCCCATTCAGGCGCATCAGAATGCCTTGCACATGTAGGTAAACTGAGGCACAGGGAGGTTTGAAGGGCCAGGCTGGGCACCATGTTTATCCTAACTGTCCTTCACCTGCCGGCTGTCTGCCAACTCCCGAAATTCCACAAGGACCCATCTCCAGGTGAGGGGCCTCTGGCCACATGCCTCACGGTGGGCTCTTCTCCCCAGGTCCCTGGATTTGACAGGCCCCCTTCTCCTGGGTGGTGTCCCCAACCTGCCCGAGGACTTCCCCGTCCACAGCCGGCAGTTCGTGGGCTGCATGCGGAACCTGTCCATCGACGGCAAGACCATGGACATGGCCGGCTTCATCGCCAACAACGGCACCACGGCAGGTGGGTGTGGCCCTGACGCACCCTACTGCTGACCCCCACTGCTGACCCCACACTGCTGACCCCACAGCTGACCCCCACTGCCAGACCCCCCACTGCTGACACCATTGCTGACCTCCACTGCTGACCCCCCACTGCTGAGCCCACAGCTGACCCCACTGCTGACCCCCACTGCTGACTCACCCCACTGCTGACCCCACAGCTGACCCCCACTGCCAGCTGACCCCCCCACTGCTGACCCTCCCATTGCCAGTCCCCTCACTGCTGACCCCCCAATGCTGAACCCCCACGGCTGAACCCCCAATGTTGACACCCTCCACTGCTGACTCCCCCACTGCTGACCCCGTCCAATATTGACCCACCACTGCCGACCCTCATTGCTGACCGCCGGGGCCTGGCATTAGGAGCCTCCTGGGGGTGGTGTATGAGGCCTGGGATGGCCGCAGGCACACTCTCAGGGCTAAGGGGACATTGTTGCTCCTGGCTGGACCAGGCTGGCCAATGGCTGGGGCACAGGACATCATGGCCAGGGGATCACTCAGTGGGCGGTGGGAGGACAGAGACCCCCCCATCATAGTGACCTTTCTCCCCCCACCTCACCTCACACCAGGATGACCCTGGGACAGATGTCCCCATTACAGTGACCTGTCCCCTCACCACCTCACACCAGGATGACCCTGGGAGAGTTGTCCCCATCGCAGTGGCCTGTCCCCCACTCACATACACCTCAAACCAGGATGACCCTAGGACAGATGTCCCATCACAGTGACCTGTCACCCACTTACACCACGTCTCACCATCTCACCTCATACCAGGATGACCCTGGAACAGACGTCCCCATCACAGTGACCTGTCCCCCCACACCTTACCTCACACCAGGATGACACTGGGGCAGATGTCCTCGTCACAGCAATCTATCACACACCTACACCACGTCTCACCTCACACCTGGGTAACACTGGGGCAGACGTCTCCATCACAGTGACCTGTCCCCCCACCTCACTTCTGTCCTTGCAGGCTGTGCTGCCCAGAGGAACTTCTGCGAGGGGGCCTGGTGTCAGAACGGGGGCACCTGTGTCAACAAGTGGGACACCTACCTGTGCTCCTGCCCGCTCCGGTTCGGTGGGAAGAACTGTGAGCAAGGTCAGTTCTGGGCCGTCCAGCTTTTCCTTGTGCTCGCTGGGACAGGTGGTGCCTGGACCCCTCACAAGGGGCCTCGGAGGAGGCCTGACACCTAGTGTGTCCCGCTACCCCTACCTGCTGTGGCTCTGTGGGGAGCAAGGATGTATCCAGGGCTGAGAGGCCTCCGGGATCCCCGTAATGGGGTGAGCCTGCAGTGGGGGTGAACCTGCAGTGGGGGTGAACCTGCAGTGGGGGTGAGCCTGCAGTGGGGCCGGGATCAGGGACAGTTGTGTGGCTGCATGAGGGGACACCTGCAGGTGGGGACACTGAGCCTTGTCTCACAGACCAGCCTGGCCTGAAGGAGCCAGGTCCCCGGTCCAGCTGGGGTCGCTCTCTGGTCTGCAGTGTGGTAGGCAGGGGTTTAAGGTGCTGCTCCTTCTCCCTGGCTGGACACGTGGCATCGGCTGCACTTAGGGAGGCCCCTGAGCCTGTCTGTGGGCTGTGTGTCTGGCAGTTGGGCTGGGGGGGCCGGGCTCCCCAGAGAAGATTATGATCAGGAGCCGAGTACTGCTGGACAGGGCAGCTAAGCGCAGGATGGACATCACAGAGGTTTCCCGCAGCAGAGGTCACATGGCCTGGCTGGGCACACATGCAGGCAGCAGGTGGACCCTGAAGGCAGCCCTCGTGGTGGGCCCTCGGTGGCCAGTGGTCCCAGAAATGGCAGTGTAATCCCACATGGGAGAGGCTGCCAGCCGGCCAGCAGGAGTCTGACCAGGCCTAGGAGGGCAGTTGGTTTGACTTCATGTTCACTCAGTGTTTCCAAGAGTCTTGGAACTAGGGAGCCTGCGTACCACCCACTGCCACCTCTCTGGTTACCCCAACCAGGCAGAGCCCAGGGCTTGCCAGTGAACCGTGAGTTTGGAGACCTGGTGCCCATCCCCAAGGGGGGGTCCTTGCACTTAGGGCAAGGAGATTAGAAACCCCTAGACCCCTGCAGAGGGTGCTTGGGTGCCTGAAGGAGTGTGTGCATGCCTGTATGTTCATGTGTGATCATGTAATCATACTGTGATAATCAAGGGGTCATCCCCCACATGACCCTGCCCCCGGCCAGGACTGACATCACCAGGTGTGGCAGTGACAGGTGGGCTGGGCTGGCCAGATCCCTCTCCTGTCCACTGAGCCTGGGGTCTAGGGTCACCCTGCTCCTGCCCAGCCTGAAAGCTCTATGTCCCCAGCCAAGCAGTGGAAGCAGCAGGCCTTAGCCTGCCTTGTGAGGACGGGGCCCATTTCCCAGGAGTGGGTCTCTCTGCAGGGCCGTCGGCGGTGGATTCTGAGTTCTAAACCCCAAAAGCAAGCAATGGCGTGGATCCCCAGTCCTGACACTGTTCCCGGCTGTTGTCTGTGTTCACACTAAGTGCCACGCCTTGCTTCCACAGCTGGGTGGTTCCACTGTCAGCTGTCCTGTTAGTGGACCACATCCTGTGCTGCCTGTGACCCTTCAGACCCCTGGGCCAGGGTACATGGACAGGGTTTCAGAAAGGGGCTTGGGTGTAGAAATCCCCGCAAACCCTCACCCTGCCTGAGAGCCGCCCTGGTGGGTGTTTGTCCACAGTCATGCCGCACCCCCAGCACTTCAGTGGGCAGAGCCTCGTGTCCTGGGCCGACCTGGCCATCACCATCTCCGTGCCATGGTACCTGGGCCTCATGTTCCGGACCAGGAAGGCGGACGGTGTGCTGATGGAGGCCTCCGCTGGTGTGTCCTCCCGGCTCCTTCTGCAGGTGAGTCAGCCATTCCCACCAGTACCTGGATGGGGACACACCTGTGTGGACACAGGAGGGGTCGTGCCCTCTCACTGCCCAGTGTGAACATGAAGATGTGAGTGTCTGTTCCCGGAGGCTGGACAGTCTCACTGTCCTCTGACGAAAGGCATGGAGACACTGCTCGCTGAGAAAGGCCTCTGGGATGTGCCTTCTGGCCAAGGACACTGAGTGGACAGTCATGTGCTGGACTGAGGCTCCAGTGCTCAGAAACCCCAACACCTGTTGTCATGAGTCACTGACTGAATCTGCTGAAGTAGATTGCCAGGCCTTTCTTCTGAGGCACCTCAGAGTGGCTCAGGCCCCCAGCCTCTCAGGTTTATCTCACCTGAGGACTTCCCCCTCCTCCCCTCTGCTCCTCCCCCTCCACCCTGGCCCCCTCTCCCCCTCCTTCCCACCTCCTCTCTGCCCAGCTTCCCAAGAAATGTACACCCTGCGCTCCCTTTACCCCTCCTGTCTCCACCCCCCCTTCCAACTCTGTCATCTTCCCTCCTCCCTCCTCCCTCCTCCCTCCTCCCCTTCCTCTCCCCTCCCTCTCCCTCCCCATTCCCTCCCTCCTCTCAACTCCTTCCTCCCTTCCCCTCTCCCCCTTTCTTCCCCTCCGTCCCCCAGTCTTTCCTACTCCCTTCTTCCTCCACATTCCCTCCTCTTCCTCTCCTTCCTCCTACCTCCTACCTCTTCCCTCCTCCCTCCCTCTTCTCCCTCACTCCCTCTTCCTATCCCTCTCTATCTACTCCCATCTCTATCTACTCCCCTCCTTCCCTCTCTGTCCTTCCTCCCTCTCCCTCTTCTTTCCTCCTCCCTTCTTTATCCCTTCTTCCTCCCCTCTCCCACTTCCCTCCCTCCCCCTCCTCCTCTCCTCTTCTCTTCCCCCTCCCTCCTTGCTGTCTTCCCTCTTCCTCCCTCCTTTCTTCTTCCCCCCTCCCTCCTCCCTCTCTACCCTCTTCCTCCTTCCTTCCTCTCCCCTTTTTTTTCTTTCCCTCCTTCCTCCCCATCTCCCTCCTTCCCCTCTCCCCCTCTCTCTCTCTCATTTTCCCTCTCCCTTCCCTCCCTCCTCTCTTCTCTCCTCCTCCCTACCCCTCCTGCACAGGAGTTTGGCACCTCTCACTGTCCTCTTTTGCCGGGCCTGTGGAGAGTGGGTCATAGCACAGTGCTGTCAGATAACCCACTTCACAAAGCGCAGAGCTTCCCCCAACAGTCAGGAAGTCCCTCCCAGAGCTAGCTGTAGTGTGCCCTGCTGCAGTTCTGGTCTGCTTACACCATCATTTCTTCTCACTTCCCTGGCCCCATGGTGACAGGTGTGGCCAGCACAGGCAGCATTCAAGTTGGGTAGGTAGTGGTAGGTCAGTAACTGATGCTTGGTCAGGGTTGGGGGTCTACAAAGGCCAGGAGATGGGGGCCTCAGCTCACAGTACACCCCCAGGCCCCTCTCCCTGACACTGTGGTCAGCTGGTCCAGAAGCACCTTCAGTGGCAGGTCAGAGGAAGGACCTGTGTGGCTCCCTAATAGGGGGTCTGGGAGACCTGGACCCCAAGGGCTCCCAGGGGGTAACAGAGTGATATGACAAGGCTGAGGAAGGGGTGACTGCCCTGCCCCAGGCTGGGGCCCAGGCCACACATCTGGCGCTCAGCAGGCCGTGCTGGGGTTCCCTTGGCCAGGCCCACAGCCCGGGGGTACCTGTGTGGGTGGTGTAGCATGCTGACATCCTTTTTTCCCCTCGTTAAGTGGTGGTTGTGCAGGCTCACGGCGTCAGGATCACCACGGCGTCGGGTGCGCTGGCCCACACCTGGCAGGCACAGTGGCCCCAGGCACTCCTTTTCTCTGGGGTTGTCTCACCCTCTAAACTGATGGGATCACCTGGTTTTGACCTTGGTGATGGGTGGAGCTTTCACGTTGTCGCTTGGCTCTGGGGTCCCTGTAGGGAAAAAAGTATGCTCTCCGCCAAGAGGTGCCCTCAGCCAAAGCTACTGTGTTGCTGGAGTGGCTGTGTAAGTGTAACTGGTTCAGAAATCAGGTGCTTGGGTTTTTACTAAAGAATACAGCTCCACTTTGGGAAGGCTGGGTGATAACAGTGGCCTCCAGCTGTCCCCCAGACCCCAGGAACCCCTTGAAGGCTGAGTCAGGCGTGTTCCCAAAGGCCACTAGCTGGTGTTGCCAGAATTCCCATTTATTTCTAGGGTGTTTGACACTCCAGCCCCTGAGCCCGGTGGACGCAGGCAGGGCAGCAGTTGGGTGTTCTGAATGGTCCCTCGGCGGCGTCTGTTCTGTTCCTGCCGTGTCCCCATCCTCACAGCCCTGACAATTTGGGTAATTGCTCTCAGGCGCCGTGGGCATGCCCATGTTGTCAGCAGGATAACCGCGCTCTTGTCTCCTCCTCTGTCAAATCCGGTGACAGGCCTGGGGTGATGGGCAGGGACCGCCAGCCCACCGATTGCCTCTGTTTCCAGACACCACGTCACTCACTTTTACTGCCAGCCTGGCTGTGTTAGCAAGGAGGGCTTGAGAGGGTGACGGGAGAGACGGGGGCGTGCACGCAAGTGTCTGGACAGTAAAACCAGGCGGAGCGTAAACAGGTGAGAGGGTTTGAGATCAGAAATCGATGTGTGATTAGTGGCCCTCATATTAGAAATAGATGAGAAATGGTTTCTGATTGTTGATTTCTTCTTGGATCCACGGAGCATTTAGGAGTGTATTTCCGGACCTCCGGACGCAGGGCATTTTCTCCTATGTGGTTTTGGTTTTATTCCCAGCATAATTGCAGGTCAGAGAAGGGGTGCTCTGTGTGATGGCAGACCTTGGAGAGGTGCTGGGACTTGCCTCGGCGCTCTGTGACTGTTCGCGGGCGCCTGAAAGCACCGTGCCCTGTCTGCAGCTGTTGACTGGCAAGCTCTCTCCAGGCCCCGTTCGCTCACCGTGGCGTTCAAACAGTCTGAATGTTTGGGTCTGTTCACACTCGGAGGTATTGAGAAAGAGGAGTTCAGAATGTCCAAACCCTCTCATGGTTTTGTCCATGACCCTTACTTCTGTGTACTTTGGCCCTCTCGATTTGGGGGCGATGTTAGCTGGTGCCCACAGATTTAGACTTGCTCTTGTCTTCCTAGTGTTATCATTCTGAGAGACCTTAACTCAAGGACCGACTTTGGCCCTAACGGTCACTGTGTCTGGGGCTGAGCCACCTGTCTCTCGCTTGTTTAACTACGTATCACTACCCACCTTTCTCTCAGTGTCTCTGTATCCTTGTTTCAGGTATGTTTTATTAAGAGTGGGAGTGGGTATTTTCCTGTCTTTAATCCACCACGAACTCTTGTGTCTTTTTATTGTGTTGTCTTAAAGCACTCGTTTTAATTTTTTTTCTATTTTCCTTTTCTTTTCTTCCCCTCCCCCTCCCCTCTCCCTTCTCCCTCCCCTTTTCTTTTCCTTTTTCTTTTCTCCTCTTTTCTTTTCTCTTCTCTTCTCTTTTTTTTTTCTTGTTATTTACCGTTGAATCAGATCTGACTGGCACAGGAAAAGATTGCCCCTTCTCCATTGAAGCATCTGGTGGATTCAAACCATGTGCTTTCGGGATTGCAGTGAAGCTTATTGCCACTAAGCCACCAGACCTCCCTCTGCTCATGTTTTAAGATGCAAACATATGTTCAATTGAGTTTGTGTGTTTGATTTTTAGCTCCTTCCAGTTCGTGAAGTGGTCCATGTTTTCACTTTGTAGCTTGGGTGCCTGTGGTCTTGCTGGTTTATCTTTGTCCTAATTCACCCAGCACTTGTCTGTCAGCTTGCTGTGCTGAAGTAACTTGTGGGTGCTGTGATGCTAAAGGCTGTACCACTCGTGTGCCAAACGCTGGATGGGTCACCCGTGGTGGGCAGGTTTTAGTCGAGCTCCCAGATTAAGGCAGACGAAGAAGAAGTGACTATCCACTTCTGAAATAGTAGGCCTCTGAAAACCCTATGAACACTAGAGGAACACGGATAGTTACAGTATTAGAGATAGAGCCCAGATTGAGAGTCAATCAAAATGACCTGGCACATTGACAGTGACGACGACAATGAGCTTGACTGTGTCAGAGATTCTCAGGTTGGCAGCAGATAGGACAGGGTTCAGATCTGTACTTGACTCAATGGCACCTAACAACAACCACAACTGTATACTGAACCCTGACCGGATGGTCCCTTGTGCGTCTGTGGGTCCCTTGCTGTGTTTGCCCCTGTGTCTGACAATTGTTTTATCTGAATCCACGGTGGGTCTGGTTCTGCTGTCTCTTGCTTCCCTTGGTTTTTCCACTCACACTTTGTCTCCTTACGTAGATAGTTGTTTTGGATTGTGTACTGGGCATCGCATGGCAGAACTGTGGAGAGAATTTGCACCTGGGATGGCTGTGTCATTAGGCTCTCAACAACAGAATCCTGTGTCCCTCTGGGGGCAGCTAGAGGACCAGCCATTCCAGACCCCCGTAGCCCAACCATAGTCAGAGATGACCAATAGTTGGGCTTTCTCTTCTTTTTTTCCCCCCCTAAGTAAATTTACTTTACTTGTAGTCAGATGGTGGGAGTTGCCCCTTTGCATTAATTTCTTTTTTAATTTTAAATTTATTTTAATGAAAATTTACAGAGACTTAGGATTTCCATTTATTCATTGTTGCACTTTTCTCCCTGTCCCCTCCCCCCCGGGTTCACTCTTCTCTTTGAAAAGTAAAAAAAAAATTCTTTCATTCAATCCCTCCCCAAGTCCACTCCACTATGCTACCTTCGTTCTGGGCTCTCTTGTTTGTGCGAGAGCTGGCTGGTTCCCGTTCATGCCTCTATGTAACCCTTCCGGTTCCGGACTGACAAAGGCATCTTGCTCTCAAGCCTCGACAGGCTCTGAGCCACACTGTCAGTGTCCCTGCTTGCAGCTGGACAGCTCTCTCGGCCCTTCGGTCTCAGCTCTTGTTCTGGAACAACTGACAGCTGCATGGAATAATGAGGAAAGCGATCGAGTTTGCTGTCCAGTCGTTCTGACTCCAGTGCCCCCACGTGTGTAGAGTTGCACAGTGCACCATGGAGGTTTCAGCGACTATGGCCTTTACAAAGCAGCTCACCAGGACTTTCTTCCAAGGCACCGTGGGTGGGTTCAGATGGCCAACCTTTGGGTTCATAGTTGAGAGTGATCGTTGGTACTGCCCGGGCCCTCTGCCTGACCCACAGAGGAGCGTGCACACCTGCTGGGTCTCCTCCAGGTAACTTCGCTGTGGCTCAGCGGAGCCTTGCACCTGTCTGCTATCTTCACACTCATGTGCTCTGATGATTCACCCTGTTTTCTGGGTGGTGTCAGAAGGGCTGAGCCTGCTGCCCGTTCCTTCACTGGCATCCCCCCAGCTGGCTTATCTTAAAATACAAGTATCTTTGGCCTCTCACAGTGCTGATTTCAGATTATTTTTTTTTCTCACATGTACTTAACCATCTCATCTCATCAAATGTAACATGTACACCCAGGCCTAAGAGCTCAGTTGTTTTGGGGTGTGTACCGTCAAGTGGAACTAATCCACAGCTGACCCTCCAGGCACTTTTCAGAGGTGATAAGTCACGTGGGAGGACTTTGCCCTGCTTTCTCCCATGGAGCAGTCAGTGGATTCAAACCAGTGGCCTTTGGGTTGGCAGCATAGCTCCTTACCACTAGGCCACCAGAGCTCCCCAAGAGCTCAGTGATCGTCTCAGTCTCTGAAGAGTCCCCGTTTTTCATCCTTGCAGTTGTAATTCTTTTGCGCCATCAAGTCATCTACAGCCGTGACAGTCTTATGAACAGAGAGCTGACTCGTGCCCTGTACTGTGCCGTCCTCATGGTCTCTGATACGCCCAAACCCATTGTCACGGTCACTGGTCCATGCAGGTCGCTGAGGGTCTTCCACTCTTTTTGCTGACCCACCACCTTCCCAGGACCAGCCCCTTCTGACAACACACCCTAAGTGTTTGTGAGACAGAGTTTGACAATTCTGCACCATCCAGGAGCACCCAGGTTGCATTTCCTCCGGGACAGATTTGCATGTTCATTTGACGGTCCGTGGGGTGTTCTATACCCCTTTCTAACACAATTCAGAGGCACCAGTTCATCAGACTTCCCTATTCATAGTCCAACTTCCACATACACAGGAAGCAATTGAAAATACCGTGGCTTGGATCAGGCACCCCTTAGTCTTTAAACTGACATCCTGAGCTTTCTTAAAGCCCCAAACCAAACTCAGCCCTGTCGAGCTGACCCCCACACACGGACCCTCCACCGGGGGCCTCAGCCTGTGCCTCTTACGAGAGCAGACTGCCCGCTTTCTCCTGCAGAGGCTGGTGGAGTCGCTGGCCTTTCTATGAGCAGCCTGGCAAGTACCACGACGCCTGCAGAGCACCTGACAGAAGACCACGCACGGTCCAGCGCAGCCGCTGTTGGTGTTTCCTCTCTCCACCGTGGGGACAAGCCCCGCAGACCTCGTATAATGGCACTGTGTCCCTCGCTGTCACAGATGCTGCAGTTTCATGAAGGGGAGGCTTGTGGGGGCCCCACTGGTGCAGATTCCCCACCGCACACGTGTGTTCACTTCCTGTCTCCGCGGCATGTTTCGGTAATTCTCATCATAGTTGAGTATTGCACAACTCGTCAGCGTCACTGCTCTGTGTCCTGGGAAGCTCCTGTGAGGTGACCTGTTTAGTCCCGACTGGCTGTGTCATGCCTCTCTGGACTGGAACCCCCACTACCTCCAAGGAGTGCATATGTTGCTCTCTCTGTAGTGGAACCCCATCTCTAAGGTGAACGGTCAGTCTCCATCCATCTTTCACTTAACATCCATCAAATATTTAACTGCTTATCCCGAAGCAAAAGGTGTGTGGTTCTGAAGAATGGAGGAGCAAATGAAAACCTTGGTTAAGTGGCCTCATGGTAAGGAGCTGTGCTGCAATCCCGAAGTCACATGGTTCTAATCCACCAACTGCTCTGTGGGAGAAGGATGAGCTGTCTCCTCGCGTGCGACTAACTGCCTCTGAACTCTCCCCGGAGGGTCGGCTGTGGGTCGGTTCTGACTCGACATCTCACAGCGACAGTGCTGTTCTGGAGGCTGTCCCTGTGTCTTGGTGTGTCTGTGACGGAAGTGTCCTCTGTTATCCCCTCGCGGGCTCGGTCATCAGTGTGACTCCCTTCCTGCAGATCCTGGGTGATTATGTCCAGTTTGAGGTCTCCCATGGCCCCTCGGACGTGGCATCCATGACGCTGTCCAGGTCCCGAGTGACCGATGGAGAGTGGCATCACGTGCTCATAGAGCTGAAGAGCGCCAAGGAGGGCAAGGACATCAAGTACCTGGCGGTCATGACCTTGGACTACGGGATGGAGCAGGTGAGTCCTCCCCACCCCCCTCCCAGGACACACCCCTGCATCACGTGAGAACCGACCAGGTGTTCAGCTCCTGGACACTGTGGGCTCCTAGGGGCCTTGGCAGCCTCGTCTGAGGCCAGTTGGGCTCCTGACACACAAGCTGCGTCTCCGGCGGTTCGGTTCCACCAGCGGCTGTGAGAGACAGTTGGGAGGTCTCTTTGTGATTTACAGCCTTGGAAGCCCAGTGGAGGGTCTGCTACGAGTCAGCGCTGGCTCTGCGGCAGCGAGTTTGTGTTTAAAGGGACCCAGAAGGTCGGAGCCTCCTACCCTAGTGGTTCTGAGCCCTGTAGCCCTCTGTCAGGTGTGGCAGGTCACATCTCTGCAGCCTCTGGGGACCTCCGTCCTCGCTCCTCCAGCTCCTAATAGTCCCAGGTGCCTGCAGCTGGCCACTGCCTCTCAGGTCTCCTCTTTGACATGGATACCTGTCGCATTAGAGTAGGACCCGCTCTGACAATCTGGCCTCATGGACCCCCTGTCCAAACTGGGGCTTGGTCACTCTACCAGTGCTATTCCGAGGGGACACATCTGGGAAGACACACAGCTAAATGCATCACACCCCTTTAATGTGGCAAGCCCCTCAGAGCCTTCGGGTTGGGGATCACTTCCGGGCCCCATGCTGGGTGCCTCCCGCCCCTGGTCCATGTTCACCCTCCCATCAGGCCATCTGCATCTGCGTCGAGCAACAGTTATAGACATGGCCCTGAGCTTCTGAGGAGTGCAGGGTGACTGAGACCTGGGTGCCTGCCTTCACCGTGGGCAGTAGGTGATATCCGGCCAGAGAACTCCCAGGGACATCTGTGAGCCATGACTGTGCCCTGTAGCCCACAGACGGCAACTCAGGTGCTCCTGCCCCACTGTCCACCAGTTGTGAGAAGCCTCCGGGCAGGAGCGGACGGAGCTCCCGCTTGCCGTGTTTCCGGTGGTTGCTGCGTGATCAGCTGGTCACAGGGCGGGAGAGTCGCCTGGCCTCCCCCGCTGACCAGCTAGGCTCGGTGCTGGCACTCACCTCAGCCTGTCTCTGCAGCCTGGGTTCAGGCCAGTCCTCCACAGCGTTCTGCCCACCAGGCTGCGCGTGGCCTGCTCGGCCCTCCCCTGGCCACGGGCAGGGCTGTTTGCTGCGGGGATAGGACTGTTGTGAGCCCTTCTGTCCTCTCTCTGCACAGAGCATGGTGCAGATTGGGAACCAGCTGCCCGGGCTGAAGATGAGAAGCGTCGTGGTCGGGGGACTGTCTGAGGACAAGGTGTCCGTGCAGCGAGGTTTCAGGGGCTGCGTGCAGGTACGGGACAGGTGCAGGGACACCTCTTGTCACTCACACCCTCGGCCAGCTCACATGTGTCAGAATTACCAGGTGTGCCACCAATCAGGCGCCCACATAAATAACACGTGCAGGGAACTAACGTGTGCGTGGCATGCAGAATCGGATCCCTCGCACATTTGTAAATAAATGGGCTCTTTCCCCAGTCGACATCCCAAAGCCACCTTCCCATATGTACACTTGACTGTGTTCCAGCCCGGCTCCCTGAGTTAGGGGCTCCCCTGCCTCCTCCGCTCATCACCCCACTGTCTGCTCCTCCGTCCACTGCCGTGCGGGCGTGTCCAGCCCCTCACTGTCTCCACCACTGTCACCAACCAGAACTTGTCTCCTGGTCGCCGTGTCTCACAGGAATGTCAGGGCCTCTGTGAGGGGGAGTAGGCCCCGCTCATTCCTCTCCCCACCCACTCCTCCTTTTATTTACCCCTCTCCCCCTCACCCTGCCCACAGGGCCAGGGCTGAGGGCTCCTAGGTTCACCCACTCCTCCCTGCCACTCCTCACCCCACCCACTCCTCACCCACCCAGTCCTCGCCCACTGGCTGCCCAGCGCCCCCCACACCTCGCCCCTAACTACTCACTCCACCTACGCCCTCCTCAGTCCATCCTCCATGTCTAGCTGACTGGTCACGTGCTCGGCGACCTCCATAGTGTTTCTGCCGGGCGGGCCTCGAGCCTTGAGCCCTCAGTGTGGCCCTGTATGTGTGACCAGGGGGCCGCCCGCCTGGGACTTCTCGACCTAGAACAACATGCTCACACTGCCCAGACCCCCCTCCCAGGCTCACCTTGAGGAGCCGCCCTCGCCACATTGACCTTGACCTTCAGCATGTTCCTTCCACCCTCCTCATCCTGTTCCTTCAACCGCTCCAGCCTCGTGTCCCCCTCCCCACTTTGTAGGTAAAGTTCTCTCTGGGGACGGGGAGGAGCGGGGTGCTCTGACCTCAGGGGCTTCCTGCGGCTCCTCCGGGCCCCCAGCCTGGGACCACCTCCGACCCCCACCCCGACCATGTCTGACGCAGGGTGTAAGGATGGGGGAGACGTCCACGAACATCGCCACCCTGAACATGGACGACGCTCTCAAGATCAGGGTGAAGGCTGGCTGTGAGCTGGAGAACCCCTGCTCCTCCAGCCCCTGTCCCCCCAACAGCCGCTGTCAGGACGCCTGGGACAGCTACTCCTGCATCTGTGACCGAGGTGGGCACCCTTGGCAGGCGGGCAACACCCTCCACATGCCTGCTGGCAGGCTCCAGCCTTTGCTTGCAGAGATACTAGGGCAGTGGGGGCCTGGGGAACATCTGGGTCAGCTGGTGCCCAGTCCGCAGAGACAGTGCCCACCATCATGCTTTGGTGACTGTGGTCTATAAAGCGTACAGGGGACCATCTAAGACGTGAGTGCCGGTCACGTCTCGTTTGGACCAGAGATTGTTGTTGTCAGGTGCCGTCCAGTTGACTATAATTCACAGCGACCCTGTGAAGAACAGATCTGAGCCCTGGCCTGTGCCGTCCTTGTCATCTCTGACACACACGAGCCCATTGCTGCAGTCGCTGTCAATCCATCCCATTGAGGGTCTTCCTCTCATTCACTGACCCTCCACATTTCTAAGAATGATGTATTTTTCCAAGGACTAGCCCTTTGTAGGTAGCTCTGGTGGTAAGAAACAGTTCTGTAACCCTGAAGGCAGGCAGTTCGAATCCACCAGCTTCTCAATGAGAGATAAAAGGGCATTCTCCTCCTGTGCGATTTATTGCCTCCAAAAACTCCCTGGAGGCCATCTGTGGAGGGACTGGTTCCTTCTCTGAATCTTGACTTTCCTTTCTCTTGCTCCACATGAGCCCTGTCTTAAATGGCCATTCGCAAGACCCTGGACACTGTCACCAGAGCAGGCTGTGGAACATGCCCTCTGGGAGCGATGTTATGTCGTTTGCTCCTGCTGTCCCATGAGATTACAACCCTTCAAACCCAGTAAACGAATCCGTGTGGTTGTGGACACATGGAGAAATTTGGGGATAGAAAGAGTGCAAGGTGCATATGTAAAAAAATCATGCCTTCAAGGGAGCTCTGGAGGCCTGCTGGCAAGAAGCTGTACTGCAATCCCAGAGGTACACAGTTCGAATCCACCAGATGCTCTGCTGGAGAAGGAGGGACAATCTCCTCCTGTACCAGTCAGATAGGATTTGACAGTATACACACACACATACACAAATAAAATTTTTTTTAAAATCTAAAAATAATAAAAAATAATCATGCCTGTTAAGGTGTTGAGGTCAGTGTCAGCCTCGTGTCCTGGGCTGGCCAGGCCCCTTCTCACCGGGTGCCCATGCTGCAGCCCAGCAGATGGCCCTGAGCACCGGGGTGCCTGGGCACCCAGCTCCCCAGGCCCTCATTTCTGGCTTCAGCAGATCAGCCCCAGGTCCTGTCCCCCAGCCCCTTGTCTGCCCAGGCGGCCTTGGGAACCTTTGTCCGGCACGTCATTGTCCAGACACCTGCTGTTTGTGCTCGAGTGAGCTCAGCTGCACGCCTCTTTCCTCTGCTGACAAGCAGGGAAGTAGAGGCCCAGAGAAGCCTTGAGTGTCGCAGCACGCCAGCATGGGGGTGGTTGGCCCTCCAGTGCAGTTAGCCTGGCCCCTGTCTCCCCAGGGTACTTCGGACAGAAGTGTGTGGACGCGTGTCACCTGAACCCCTGTGAGCATGTGGCGGACTGTGTGCATGACCCCAGCTCCTCCCGGGGCTACACATGCGAGTGTGGGCCTGGCCACTACGGACAGTACTGTGAAAACAGGTGAGTGGGTGACGGGTGAGCACGAACCCAGCATCTGGTCAGCTCCCTGACCCTCCTCCTGAGGCCATCACACTAGCCCGTGTCCTTCTGAGTGCAAGGGCCTTTGCTATTAGGGCATCACAGAGACACTGCATGACCACGCCTTGCCCTGGGAGTCCTGAGGGAGGTTGAGACGGGTGGGGGGCATTTCCTGATCCAGGCACGCATCCAGCCCCACAAGGCTGCCTTCTGTCTAGAAGGGGTGTCAGCTTAACCTCTCTGACTCCTGCTTCGCTTCCCCAGGGTCGACCTCCCATGCCCCAAGGGCTGGTGGGGCAGCCCCGTGTGTGGACCTTGCCACTGTGCCGTCAGCAAAGGCTTCGACCCCGACTGCAACAAGACCAGCGGGCAGTGCCAGTGCAAGGTGAGAGAGGGTGGGTGACAGGACCAGTGGGCAGTGCCCGTGTGAGGTGAGAGGGCAGGTGACAGGACCAGAGGGCAGTGCCCACATGAGGTGAGAGGGGGCGGGTGACAGGACCAGCGGGCAGTGCCAGTGTAAGGTGAGAGGGTGGGCGACAGGACCAGAGGGCAGTGCCCGTGTGAGGTGAGAGAGGGCGGGTGAAAGGACCAGCGGGCAATGCCAGTGTGAGGTAAGAGAGGACAGGTACGAGAGGCGGGTGATAGGACCAGTGGCAGTGCCAGTGTGGGGTGAGAGGGGGTGGGCGACAGGACCAGTTGGCAGCACCCATGCAAGGTGGACCTGAAGTGCTTGCTGAAGAAGGTCAAGGACTGCAGCCTTCAATATGGATTGAGGCTCAACATCGAGAAAACAAAGATTCTCACCTTTCTAAGTACACGTGTACAAATCTACCTGTCCACCTGTGCACACACCTTCACTCCCTACCTGTCACCTCCCAGCATGTGGACAGGTGTGCGCTTCTGCATATGCACACCCCGTTAGGCCTGTAGACACTCACAAACACCGCCCTGTGTGCACGCACACACCACACAGTCCTACCTGTGCACGTGCACACTCACTCACGGGCAGGCACACACACCTGCCTGAACACGTCCCCATACCAGCCTTCAGTCCAGAGCGGTGCGTGCGCACAGCCGTGTCAGGCTCTCTGCTGCCCCCTGCTGTCCTCTATTTGCTGTGCACACAGGGCTGATTTCCACATGAATTCACACCTGGGACAGAGCCTGGGACCAGTCAGCCCTGCACTTGCGTGTGACAGGGCACTGTCCTTTCTCGGAGGGCTGACTCATCTCTGGCACCAGCTTGGTTCTCCCCTGAGCCACGTCCTGGTCTCTTATCTGCCTGCCCTGACCATAACTGGGATTTAACATGTCCTTAGTGCAGCCCCTGTTCACCTCCATACGCCTGTGCACCCCTGAACCCCAGTCTGCTGTCTGCATATGTGCCCCAGATCCTGTGACGCCTTCCTCTTGACATAGTGCCCCTGTGCCCACGCCTGCCGCCTGTGTTGGTAACTTGGACACACAGCTGGTCTCGTGGTGCCCGTGCTCTGCCAGGGACCAGGCTGCCAGGTGGACATGCCCACCCAGGGGTGCTGGTCCTTGGAGACCTCCCAGGGTCCATTTAAATCTGAATGGTCCTGGATACAGTGGGAACAGAGATGAGATGTGGCTTGTTTCCTGACATGCTTCACAGAAACCCTGGAAGGGAGGCAGAGGGCCAGGAGGAAGGCCGGGTAACAAAATTCACCACATGCAGCCTCGTCAGGTGATTGCTGACGTTTTACTCTCGCCTTCCAAGTGTCACAGGCAGGTGACCTCACTGTGTCACACAGGGCACATGGTCACACAGGTGGTGGACAGGAGCACACGGAAGTAGTGTCCTGGCCTGTCATACGTGGACCCTGTAACAGCTGAGGTCCTGTCCAAACAACAGGCCAGGAGGAGGGACACAGCACAGGCAGGGTGGCCGGGGAATGGCCGAGCCAACTGTAGACTGGGGCTGTCGGATACCAGAGCACAGGCCGTCCACAGCCACCTTAGCTGGCTGGTGGTGGACATCGAGGCTACACTTAACCCATCGCAGTGTCACTCCCACATCCCCATTTGGGTCTAGTTCTTTTGGGGACACATGGGACAGCACTCTCGGGGAAGCTGGGCAAGGGCACCTGTCCTGGCATGGCTCGGGGAGTGGTGAGAGCCCCGGTCAGGTGGTCACTGCCCATATCATTCACTCAGGAGGGCCATGGCGTTTCTCGGGGGACACCCTGACAGAGGTGGGCTCAAGGGGAAAACACACGCCCTTCTCCCTGCAGGAGAATCACTACAAGCCCCCAGACCAGGACGCCTGCCTGCCCTGTGACTGCCTCCCACAAGGCGCCCACAGCCGCAACTGTGACGCCCTGACCGGCCAGTGTGCCTGCAGGCCGGGTGTCATCGGGCGCCAGTGCAACCGCTGTGACAACCCCTTCGCCGAGGTCACCACACTCGGCTGTGAAGGTCCGCCGGGGTCCCCCCCTTCTGGCCACATCATGGTTGCTGGGTCCACCTGTGTGTGAGCCTTGAGTCTCTGTGGATGCACGTGCATCTGTGTTTGCATACCTGCTGCATGTGTATCTCCAACTATGTGCATTTGCACGTGTGGGGGGGGGCTGCTGGGACTGCATGTGTGTATTCAAGTCTGGGTGTGTCTGTTTACTTGTGTGTCTACACATGTGTGGTGCCTGAGTGTGTGTGTCTCTGTGTTTATATGTACATGTGCTTGGTCTGCTATGTGTATACATGTGTGTGCAGTCATTCCTGCGTGTTTGCTCTGACATCTGTCTCCATGTCTGTGCGTGGTCCCAGTCTTGGTACTCACACGCAGTTTGCCTGTTCTTCTGTACATAGGACATATGTCGATATGTGTGCGTGTCTCTGTGTGCATCTACTTGTGTTATATCTGCATGTGATTTGCATGTGTCTAAATGTGTGAATATGCCATATGTTAAATATGTGTCTGTGGTTTGCTTGTGCACCAGCTTGTGTGTGTCTCCGTGTGCCCCGCACACCTGTGGGAAGCACGCTGTGACCATTGTCCTGACGTTTCTGGGCTGTAGGAAGCCCGGCTCTGCAGGGGGAGGTGGTGAGAGCGTGGGCCCGAATCTCGCAGACGCTGGTTGCCCCATGGAGGGCAGACCTCTGGGAGATGGGCAGGGTGGGAGGCACTCAGCTAAGTGACCTGTCCCACTGTCTGCAGTGATCTACAGTGGCTGTCCCCATGCGTTCGAGGCTGGTATCTGGTGGCCACAGACCAAGTTTGGACAACCTGCCGCGGTGCTGTGCCCCAAGGGCTCTGTGGGTAAGTACATGGCCTGTGGCCCTGCCCCCGGTCAGAGACTGGGCTCTTGGACATGGTCAGTATTGGTTGTATGAAGAGCTCTCCTCCTGAGTGTGAGCAGAGCGAGACAGCGTCTTTCTCGGTGTCTTTGCTGGGTGTCCTGGGTTCACAGTGACACCCCTCCCCCCTAGTGGCAGAGTAGAACTGCCCTGGGGGTCTCCAGGCTGTGATCCCACGGGGTCCCCGGGCTGTGATCTCACCGGGTCCCTGGGCTGCAATCCCACCGGGTCCCCGGGCTGCGATCCCACTGGGTCCCCGGGCTGTGATCCCACTGGGTCCCCGGGCTGTGATCTCACCAGGTCCCCGGGCTGTGATCCCACGGGCTCCCCGGGCTGTGATCCCACGGGCTCCCCGGGCTGTGATGTTTACAGGCATCCCAGAGCTCTCCCACAGCGGCAGCATGGGTCTGAACAGGGTTTTTCAGTTAGGGTTTTTCAGTTAGCGTATGAGCGCTTTACCATCACACCACGCCCTCTTTCCCAGGAGAATAACCCACTACCCTGGAGTTGGTCCCGGCTCATGGGGACCTTCTCAGCTCACAGAGACTTGAATTTCTGAGTCTGTCCATCATCACAAGAGTAGACCACCCAGCCATCTCCCATAGAGCTCCTGGTGGGTTCAAACCCCCACCCTTTCCATCAGTAGCCTGATCTGTAATGCCTTCCTCGACCAGGGCTCCTGCTAGTCCTCTGATAACTGGCAGCTCAGCAGACAGTGGCCTGGGCGTGGATGTCCATGGCGCAGAGTAGGGTACCTGATGGCTGCAAAGTGTCCCCTGACCCATGGCCACTCCGTGCTGGGCCTGGCTTGTCGCAGAGTCTGAGGTCTCAGCACCTGTGGGTCCCCCTCCATGTGCAGGTGCCCCTCTGTGCACAAGATCCCCCTCCTAATTTGGGTCCCTCTCTGCCAGCAGATCCTCCTTCTGTGCTCAGATGCCCCTCTCAGTTTGGGGCCCCTCTCAGTATGGGCCCCCTCTCTACATGTGGGTCCCTCCCTGTATATGGGTCCCCCACTGTGTGTGTGTGTGTGTGTCCATGTGTCCCTCCCTGTATGTGGGTCACCCTCTGTGGGCAGATCCCCCTCTCTACGTGTGGGTTCCTCCCTGTATGTGAGTCCCCCACTGTGTGTGTGTGTGTGTGTGTGTGTGTGTGTGTGT